TGTCAATGACTTAATCCATAAATGAATGTCCACCACTTGGTGAGAAAAACAATTCCAGCTAACATTGTGCTTGGACTGCCAGGTACGGTGCTGAGCACAGTAGCTCCCTAAACTCTCTTGATAAGCCGTTGTAAATAATATTATTATTCTCATTTTAAAGATGAGGAACCTGGGCTCCCAGAGGTTCCTTCATGGTCCAAGGCCACATGGCTGAGTAAAGGAGCTGGGCTACTCCGTTCTCCACACCATCTGTAACCCCAGAGACAGAAGTGGGTGTGGCCTGCCTGGCAGTAGGCTGGCAGGTCAATGTCTGGCTCCAGCTCTAAGTGGGCAGCACTGGACAGCACCTAATCCCATCCATGGCCATGAACCGTATCCTTCACCCTGCCGGCTACTTCGGGGAGGTCTTCTCTTGGTCCCCATCAGGACTCCGTGTAAGGCCAAGAGATGGCTCAGCAAACCCTCTCCCCATACTACAAACAAACAAACATAAAGAACTCAAAATACTTTTTTCTATAATCAATGTTCACTGGTGTCCTTAACAGTAGAAAATTTCATAGAGACTGATTTCATACAAAAGCCTCTTGAACTGCAGTGTATTTCAGAAACTTAAGAATGTTGCCCCAGTTGGTTTGACTCAGTGGTTAGAGCGTCGGCCTGTGAACCAGAGAGTCCTGGGTTCGGTTCCCGCTAAGGGCATGTACCTCGGTTGCAGTTTGTCCCCGCCCTGGTTGGGGTCCTGTAGGTGGCAACCAGTCAATATTTCTCTCTCTGGGTGTTCCTTCCTCTTTTTCTCCCACTCTATCTGAAGGTGAATGAAAAAAAAAAAAATGTCCTCGGGTGAGGATATAAAGAAAAAGAAAGTTTATGGTTCCAGTTTTCTCTTTTTCAGTGGGGCCTAAATAGAACATATTAATTCTTTGTCTTGGGCAGGACACATATTGCTCTTGAAATTTCCCCCCTGTAAAATGTGGATAATAACATCTAGCGCACCTTTCTCGCGTGGTTTGGGGGAGCATAAAAAGAATACGAAGAAGAAAGTGAAGAACAGTGTTATATACAATCCCAATGGCGATCTTTTCTAAGTTTCCCAACCTAGAGGCCCCACCACAGCCCATCACTCTTACAGCTGCCAGTTTTGTTTTATTTAAAACACTTCTCATTACCCAAATTAAATTTTTTAATTTGTTTACTCGAGTATTTCCTGCCTCTCCAACTACAATGAAATTCCACACAAGAAGAGACGTTTGTCTTCTTTGTTTCCATTGCATTGCCGGCACCTAAAACTGTCCCTGGCGCACGGTAGACACACAATCACGGTATGATGACTAGTAACACCTTTTTGTGTGAAAATCTGTATCTTTATTAACATTCTTCAAATTAGATTTCAGCTGCAGAAAAATAGATTAATCACCCTGGCCAGTGTTGCTCAGTGGTTAGAGCATTGGCCAGAGCACTGAAGGGTCTCGGGTTCGATTCCCAGTCAAGGGCACGTACCTGGGTTACAGGTTGGATCCCTGGCCCTGGTCAGGGAGCATCTGGGAGGCAACCAATCATGTGTTTCTCTCTTTCTTTTTCTCCCTCTCTCACCCTCCTTTCTACTCTCTCTAAAAATCAATGGAAAAAATATCCTCAGATGAGGATTTACCAAAAAATAAATAAATAGATTGATCATAATCCTTGGTTAATGGTATGCTCATCATTGATCCCTGCATGATCCTCTTTTATTATTTATTTAGCTATTTAATTAGGATTATTTAAATCATGTAATAAAAATCTGAAAAGACAGAACCTAAAACAAAAGCTGGGTTTCGTTATCTAACCGTAGGGCCCCGATCCCCATCTCGTCCCTCTGCCTGTCCTCATCATCATTCAGAATCCCAGCTTCTTAGTTTCTTACTGTCTGAAGTCTCTTTCCCTAGAAGCAGAGACTGAGATGATGCGGTTCGGGTGTAAGTGATGTATTGAAGAAGTGCTCAGAAGGGAACTTGGGGAAGCAAGGTGGTGCTGGGGAAAAGCCAGGCAAGAATGCAGAATCAGCTGGAGACTGCTAGAGCACACATTGCACTATAACGTTGACCCACCTCGAGGCAAAAGACTAACTCTTTGTACCCCCAAGTCAGTCAGTCATTGACTGACCTTTGGGTGGGTGCAGAGCCTCCTGGGTGAGGCCCCCCCATTTGGCTAAGGGCAATTTTTCAGAGAAGGATGGAGCCTTGAGCTGTTGGCAGCCAATACTCAGAGCAACTAGGAATCAGTGCACTTGACCAGGAAAAGGGGGTCTGGGCATCTCTCCTACATCTTGCATCCCTTTTTGTAGTTTTATCAAATTTTGTATGTCTTCCTTAAAAGAATGTATATACATTGTTTTCCAGTTATTTGGAACTTTCTTGAAAAAAATCATACTAAATTTTGATGTTGTATAATACTTTTCAGTATGTGAAAATACCATATTTTATTCACCCATTCTCCCACTGAGGGCTTTTGCTATTATGAACAGTGTTGCTAGGAACATTCTCATATGTATCTCCTGTTATACATGTGCAAGAATTGGTGGAGGGTGGGGTGGGTTATGCCTGGGATAGAATAGCTGGGTCATAAAGTATGGACTTTAGAAGATAATGCCAAACTGTTTTCCAAAGTGCTTTTACTAATTCATATGCTCACCAATAATGTATCTACGAGCTCTAGCATCTACATGCTGTCCAACATTTTTTAGTTTTATAAATTGAAGGAGTATACAATGGCATCTCATTGCGGTCTTGATTTGTATGTCCTCCGTCACTAATCATCTCTTCATATGTTTATCAGACATACTTCTTATGTGACATGCTTGCTCCTTTATTTTATCTATTTTTCTATTGAATTATGTGTGATTTTCTTATTTATCTGTAGGAATTCTTTATCTGTCCTTTGTCTGTTGTGTATATTTTAAATATTGTGAATATCTTCCCCTGGTTTGTAACTTTTTTCAGTTTTTTTATGGTGTCTTTTAATAAATAGAAGTTCTTAATTTTATTATAGTCGCAGGTATTCTTTTTATGGCTTTTTACATCCTGTTTAAGAAATTTTTCCCTTGCCCTGGCAGGTTTGGCTCAGCAGTTAGAGCATCGGCTGCGGTCCAGAGAGACCCGGGTTCGGTTCCTGCTAAGGGCATGTACTTCGGTTGCAGTTTGTCCCCGGCCCTGGTTGGTTGTGCGGGTGGCGGCCACTCGATGTGTCCCTTTCACGTTGATGTCTCTCCCCTCCCCCCCACTCTATCTGAACAAAAAATGGAAAAGTGTCCTCGGGTGAGGATAAAAAAAAAAGAACTCTTTCCCTTAATGAATCTAAAGGACAATCTCCATCTTGGGACGGGAGACACAAAGGCAGCAGGTGACGGGTGAGTCACAGAGGTGAGCACTGCCATGCCGACCGAGGCACTATTCGGTCGCAGGCAGCCCTGACCAGCCAGCACAAGCAAGCAGCTGGCTGGCTGACAGGTGTGTTCTGGTTATAGAATTAGATATATCATGTATTAGAGCTCGATACCATTAAAAATTCTAATCATAGACTGTAATTAACTTTCCTTGCTCTGATGCCTCGCTCACTAAACAACCTTGTGATTATAATTTGGCTTTCCATGTATCTTGCCTACAGGGAGAGAATGTACTATCCAGGCCGACGTGAGGATTCAATTCACTAAATAGTTATATGCCATAATGTAAATTAATAAATTCGTATTCTGGTTTTATCATCTGCCTCATCTGAGCTCTGTAGGCGTGAGTCAGCATCCCTGAGTCTAATCAACACGGACACTGAGAATATCAAGCTTCTGAGCTGAAAAACTAAGAACTAGACCCAGGACCAGACTGAAATCACCAAGGCAACACAGCCCTGGAGGCCCCTCGACCTGATGGAGAAGGTCTTCCTACATGTCATGTGATAAGAATAGGGATTAAAATGAACTTTTGACGTTATAAAGAGCTGCATATTCAAAATCGTGGCTTGGTTCCATTCAGGTAAAGGTGAAGAATAGGAGACAATCATAAGACTCATATTGAATATTTATTGGCGTATGAGCACACACCAGATGCTGCACAAATCCTAGGCAGAAGGATAAGATTTACAGACATGTTTGGGGGGGGGTACAGATGGAACATGCTAAGGCAGAATGGAACAAGTGGAGCTTGACTGATGAGGCCTGGCTCCACCGTGGTACTCATGGGCCAGGGTGCAAAATAAAAGACTTTAAAAAAAAAAAAGGAGAAGGAAATACAAGGTACACCGGAGCACAGACAGGAATGTGCCAAGGCAGTGAGATTATCCAGGCCAGAGGAGTGATTTAGGACTTGTAGGGTAAGGGCAACATCTTTGAAGTAAGTTCAAAGGCGAAGTGGAGGTGAGCATGGGACAGAAGAGGATAATTTAGCAATCCTGCTGTTAGAGCATCGCTTTATCCAGAGTTTCTGGATGAGCAGTCCCTATAGGGACACAGACACCCTTCTGATCCCAGTGACCCTGAATAATAAAAGGAAGAATGTGATCAGGACTGTAGTATCTGGGAATCTGGGGCCCAGTGATGAAAAGTGATCCCCTACTTTGCATTCAGGCTCAAAACATACAAAAATAAGAGTGGGGGCTAGGATGATCTATCCTGATGACCCTGCAGGATTTGTTTTTCAAAGAAAAATATGTTCAGTAAGGAGAGAGATAAATTAAAGAAGTCCTTTCTGCATCATCTTTGAGACCAACTGCATTGTTTCCCATAGCACCTGCCTTGGGGCCCCCACAGAGCAAGGTCACCAAGCTTGGCTAGATTGGATAAGATTCGAGAACCATCTCAGATACCCTTTTGTCCCAAAAACGAGGTAGAGACATGCCCCAGTAAGGGGTGATCCTAAGTGTGGCCTAAGGAAAGGCATCCAAAGGGCTCGGCAAAACAGCAGGACAAAAATATGGCAAGTGTCAGAAGCCCCCCTCTCAGGTGTGCCACCACAATGCAGGGGTTTCAGGGAGGGGTGCTGCAGAGGGCTGACCTGTGTCCTCTCCAAAGCCAGAGGCTCTGACACATGCTCCCTTTAATAGTGCCTTCAGCGTGTGTAATACATGGGGATAAGAACGTGCAGACGGAGCAGGCTCCCCATCTAGTAGAGGTGGTCCCGCACATGCTCCATGATGGTCTTCAGCCCCAGCCAGGTCTCCTCTGCAGTGGGGATGATCTGGTTGGCTGGCAGGAGGAAACCATAGTGCCCAGTATCTCTTAACTCAAAAGTGAATGCATACTTGATGCCATTATCATACGCCCAGTCAACGCTGCTCCCGCTGGCTGGATCTGCAAACCAGAAGAGAAAACACCTGTGAAGCCCAGTTTCTTTCAGGGTGAGGTGAGAAGGGGCCGGGAGTTCTGCCTGCCTGCGGGTCCTTAGGGATCCAGGGTTCTTCCTGCAAATCGTTAGGCCTGTGAGCATAAGCACGGGCCCCATCCCTATGTCTCAGGCTGTCCTGCACCATGAGGGTCTTCACTGGTCTCAGATGAGGAGACTTTATTTATTTATTTATTTTTATTTATTTTTTTTTATCCTCATCCAAGGACATTTTTCCATTTTTTGTACAGACAGAGTGGGAGGGAGAGAGAGGAAGAGAGAGAGGGGGAAACATCGATGTGAAAGGGCCACATCGAGTGGCTGCCACCCGCACGACCAACCAGGGCCGGGGACAAACTGCAACCGAGGTACATGCCCTTAGCGGGAACCAAACCCGGGTCTCTCCGGACCGCAGGCGGACGCTCTAACCGCTGAGCCAAACCGGCCAGGGCTCAGATGAGGAGACTTTAAACCCTCATCCCCAACTTGTCACTAACTCATTCCACAGACTCCTGCAGGTCACGTGAAATCAATCTTTACGAGACAGAGTATGGTAGACAGCCTCCAAGACAGTCCCAACGATCCCCGTCCCGAGACAGTCTTGTCCCTATAGAGCGCCCTCCTACACTGATTGGGGCTTTCCCGACCTGTGTAACTAACAAAAGACTGCAGAAATGAAGGTGTGTGACCTCCAAGGCTAGGCCATGAAAGCTACTGTGGCTTCCACCTTGCTCTCTCTTGGATCACTTGTTCCGAGGAAAGCCAGCTGTCAGGTTGCAAGGACACTCGAGCAGCCCGAAAGAGGCTCACGTGGTGAAGAACCGAGGCCTCCCGCCAATAATCGGCACTCACTTGCCAGGTGCCTGAGGGAGCCGTGGTAGACGCTGACCCTCCAGCCCAGTCAAGCATTCAGACAGCAGAAGCCTTGGACGACAACTCGACTGCAACCGAACGAGGGACCCTGAGCCAGAGCCACCCAGCCATGCCCCTCCTGAGTTCCTGACCCACAGAAACAGTGTAGGAAAACAAATGTTCGTTGTTTTAAGCTGCTAAGTTTTAGGATAACCTTTTACATAGCAAGAGATACTGATACACAGAGAGAGCACGGCCCTGGGAACTTCCCTTTGCCAAAAGGTTAGGCAAAGGCAAAAGGCCTGTTGTTCTGCTGCTTCTTAAACTCTACTAGAGCAAAAATCGGGTAAGAGTGCAAAGCATAGCCCTACCAGTGTGGCTCGGTGGTTGAGCATCGACCCATGCACCAAGAGGTCATTGGTTTGATTCCTGGTCAGGGCACATGCCCAGGTTGTGGGCCTGATTCCCAATGGGGGGCATGCAGGAGGCAGCCAATCAATGTTCTCTCTCATCAATGTCTCTCTCTCTCTTTCTCCCCCTCTCCTTTCCTCTCTCTCTAAAGTCAATAAAGAAAAATAAATTTTTTTTAAAAAAAGAGTACAAAACGTAAATGATATTGAACAGTAAAATGATGATGTCAACAGCAGCTATGATTATTGTACATCTACCATGAGCCAGGCATTATACTGGAAAGTTTACATTCATGATCTCACCTAACCTTTGAAACCCCAGTGAGGGTAGGTATTATTGTCCTTGTTTTTCAGATGAGGTCATTTATCTAAGGAACTATAGATGGAAAATGGCAAGGGTGAAATATAAACCCAAGTCCATCTGAGGATAAAGGCCATGCTTTCTTCAACCTACTTCCAGTGCATTTGGTATATGACATGTAGGTTCAATAAATATATGGGACCTTTCGTTTTCCCATTGTTCCGGAGGGCGTTTCTCATGATACCATTTGTGATTGTTCTAGAGATGCTGGCTCCTCTGAGTTACCTGCTCCCTCAGATTACAGAACATGCTCTCCTACACCCTCTGGAATGTTTGTGTGGTTTCCACAGCCTTTCTCTATCCTGAGAACATGCTGAATAAAGAACAGACATTGGCGCCCTGGCCAGTGTGGCTCAGCGGTGAGAGTGTCGGTCCACGGACCAGTGAGTCGCAGGTTCAGTTCTGGTCAAGGGCACGTACGTTGGTTGCGGTTCATCCCCAGCCCTGGGTGGAACCTGCGGGCGGCAACCAGTCGATGTGTCTCTCTCATATCAATGTCTCTCTCTCTTCCCCTCTCTCTTTCCTTCTCTCTCCCTCCCTCCCACTCTATCTGATGATAAACAGAAAACAAACAAACAAAAAAAAAAAAACAGGCATTGGCACCAGAGGTTTCCCGAGGCTACATACAAAGCAAGCTCAAGTGTTTCAGAACTCATTTAAAATTCAGGAAGGAGGCGCTCCGGGCGGTTTGGCTCAGCGGTTGGAGCATCAGCCTGCGGTCCAGAGAGACCCGGGTTCGGTTCCCGCTAAGGGCATGTACCTCGGTTGCGGTTTGTCCTCGGCCCTAGTTGGGTCGTGCGGGTGGCAGCCACTCGATGTGTCCCTTTCACGTCGATGTTTCTCTCTCTGTCTCTCTCTCCCTCTCACTCTAACTGAACAAAAACAAAAAACAAAAAAAATGTCCTCAGGTGAGGATTTAAAAAAAAAAAAAAATTCAGGAAGGAGGCAAGAAGCCCACTGAGCAAAGTGATCAAGTTCATAAACTTCACTTTCTTGGGTCCCTGTTCAAAGTCTATCTACTCTCTAAAATAAATAAATAAATAAACAAACAAATAAATAAATAAATAAATAAAATAAAATAAAAGGCAAATGGGATCATACTATCTACGCTGTTTTGCGCATTGTGTGGGCCCACCTCACTCATTTAAGGGCCGTTTCATTGATGAATGCACCAAATGTGTTTTATCTAGCACTCTGTTGATGGACACTCAGATGCTTAGCAGTCCTCGGTGGATTACCAGTGTTCTGTGACTACAGCAGTGCTGTCATAACCATCCTTGTGAGCCAAATCTAAGGAGCCAAACCAGCCCAAAGAACTTGTTTCCAAGCCCTTAGTAGATCAAAACCAGTAACAGGAAAGGAAAGGGCTGCTGGAGGCAGTTGACCTGAAAGAAGTACAGTCTGACCAGAGGAAGGAAACAGGAAAACTCTAAAGAGCAGAATTAAAGAAGCAAAACAGGCCCGGGCTGTTTAGCACAGGGATTAACTAGTCCAATAGGGCACAGTAGGTCTTCAGGATATAAAAACTGGTGTCCAGGAGGCCACTCAGTCATAAAGAAAGGAGCTTAGCCCTGGTCCATGTGGCTCAGTTGGATGGAAGATCCTTGTCCCGTTCACTAAAAGGCAGCAGGTTCAATTCCTGGTCAGGGCACATACCCAGGTTGTGGGTTGGACCCTAGTTGGGGTGTGTACAGGAGGCAGCCACTCGATCTCTCTTTCTCTTTCTCTCTCTCTCTGTCCTCCCCCTTCCTCTAAGATCAATAAAAAATTAAAAGAAATCAAAAGAAAAGACATGCTCTATTTAAAAAGACAGGAAAGCTCCGTTGGTGTGGCTCAGTGGATTGACTGCCGTCCCACAGACTGAGAGGTCCTGGTTCAGTTCCCGGTCAGGGCACATGTCTGGGTTGTGGGCTTGATCCCCAGTAGGAGGTGTGCAGGAGGCGCTGATCAATGTATCTCTCTCACATCAATGTTTCTATCTCTCTCTCCCTCTCTCTCTAAAAAAAAAAAAAATCAATAAAAACATATTTTTTTAAAAGACAGGAAAGTGTAAAATCCATTTTAGAATGACTTTTATCAATTTTATTTTTCATCTAAAATGGTAAACCTAAGAGAAGGTCCAGTTCTTGAAGGGCAAACTTCAACTATTTGTGTAGCATATTCCATAACCCATGGAGCTGGAGTGTTATCATACAAAAATCTATTACATTTTGGGAAAGCAAAGAGGGCAAACAAAGCCTATAAAGAACACAGGAGATGGGCTCTTCGAAGAGGTAGGGAATAATATGTCTCCTGGACAACACTCAAAAGAGCCTTCCTCCTCTCCTGTTGAAGGAATCTGATGAGTATCTCTTGACTTTGGCACAGCTAAGCTGGGGAGAAGGATGTGTTTGATGTGAGAAGGCAAGGCCATCCTTTAAACTGGTATTTGACCCAAAAGCCCGGATCCTAGTGACCCACAAAGATCTTTTGAGAGGTCCTCCTCAGAGGGTTCCGACCAAGTCTGTTTAGCTCTCTTTGGTCCGGGACTCGATTCTGACTAATTAAGAAGATGGAGAAACTCTCCTGATGTGTTTGTTCTCTGAGGAGCTCCCATTTAACAACGCTAATAATAATAAACCATGAATAATTAATGGCTGTTGCTGCAATTAGCAGCACAAACACCAACATCATGCTATCTGCCTTAGGAAGCACAGCGGCTTGTGAAACACAGCCAAGGGCTGAGATCAGAGGACCGTGGAGCTGAGATGAAGAATCTTCCCAGAAGAGGAAGCCTGAAGGGAGCAGTTAGTGGAGGGTAAAGCAGGTAGGATGGGAGAGAGATACAATACAGAAGAGGAAACAAATACAGTATTGCCTAGCTTGCAGGGACTTGGAGGGTGGATCACCTGTTGGAAACCATAGAGATGAGGCATTGGTGGGAACAAGAAGGGCACTAGCTTAATATATTTTTCTTTTTTTATTGATTTGAGAGAGAGAGATGGAAACATTGATGAGAGAGAACATCAACTGGCCTCCTTCTGCATGTCCCCTACTGGGAATTTGGCCCGCAACCTGGGCATGTACCCTGACCTGTTGGTGCAAGGGTCGATGCTCAACCAGTGAGCCATACCAGCCAGGCAGAAGGGCACTAACTTAAAAGGGGTCAGAGTTCAGCTCCCCACATTTGAATGTACATTTCCCATTTATAACTAAGGTCCTGGAGAATGATCATTTTCTTCCATTTTAAAACTTAGAGATCAGACTCACAAAATACAGGGACTCGAAGGATCTGAACAGGAATAGAGTGAATTGCTCAGATGAAACACTCCCCTGAGGAACCCAGACAAAGGTTATTTTCTCAAAATGAGGTTGAGGTTGTGGGTAATGAGCCTCAAGATCATCTTCAGATCTGGGGTCTTGGTAGAGTTTTGGTGTGTGCTTTTTTCCTTTGTTTGGCTTGATGCCAACCACTGTTGGGAGGACCCCCTAACCCAGTTCCCATCCTGCCATGCTCCAACATTTCTGATAGCAAGATGAGGAAGTCTCGTCCACGCCACTACCACCACCTGAGTCTGCCAATCCAAAGTGGGTTTTCATTGAAAATGGAATGATGGGCTTGAGAAAATTTTGATAAACGATGGCAAGATCTTTAATGGAAGATAAGGAACACAGACTCTACCACGTTGTCAGGACAAGTCATCATGGGCACATGATAAATGGCATGACAGTAGTGATGACGTTGATGAAGATGACTGTCTGCAATAGCTATTACCACACAGGCCTGACATAACTTCAGTCTATTACTAATAACAAAAACAATCAGATTGCAGCGTAGGAAGTCTAACTTACAGCTCTCCTGCTCCATTTCAAGTTTCCTCTCAAAGCCTTTTCTAAATAACGAGGAAATACTTACAGACAGTGGTGGAGGTAGAACCCACGCGGTACTGAGTGCCGGACAGGGAAGCCAGAGCTTTGGCCGCGCGCCTTGCCACCTTGTCCTAGGGGGGGAGGCAGCGGAGTGAGAAAGAGGGGACCCCACAGCTGATGTTCCTCAGCTGCTCTGCACTGCCATGGTTTGGAAGAGTCTCGGCCATTCCCCCGATGTTCCCTTCTGGTCTCCTCCTCTTTCCCATCCAACTAAAGCCGAGGCCTTATTACAGAGTGAGGGGAACCCCTCTTCCCTCACATCCCCAGGTCTTGACTTCTAGTTTGGGGAAGAGGGTATTGAAAGAGGTGAAAGAGGATGCATATGCACGCTGATGGTGTGTGTATTATACACTCAAGTTCTCCAAAGACCTGGAGGGCTGCTCACCACCCATTAGGAATCTGGTATAGGCACCACCATCTTCACCTATCCTAAGGGAAGGGAGGCCAAGTATGCTCAAGAGAAACATTTCTAAGAGTTGGGTTTTGCAGGGTGGAGGTAGAAATGGGGCTGCCGTATGTGGATGTGTCCTATGCGGAGTGCCTACTTAGACCAGAATCTGGCCCACACCCAGCCAGGAGCCCTGTGTCTGCTGGGAGGTTATGGGCTGGCTGTGCTGGGCAGAAGGGCACACTAAAGCCAACCAGCACAGGGGGAGGGGCCTGCAGCCACTCTGCAGAAGCCAGCCCAGCTCCATCAGCCCACCTTCCATGCCTGTTCACATCCTAGAGTGAGTCACTGTCCGTGACACAGAGGACCCTAGGCAGTGGCCAACCCCCTGCTTAAACTCTACCTTAACTGGAGTGAGGAGCACCTCCCCCTTGCCCAACACAATGGCACCCCCATTTCTTGGTAAGCAATGGGTCTGCAACAAGTCTTGGTCAGAGAGACAAGTGAGGAGGAAAGGCAGGGATCAGGTATGGTTTTTGGAAGTCACTGCAAAAACAGAAATAAGGGCACCATCTTCTTCCTACCCCCAGTAGGTCTGATAGGCAGGGGAAGAGGACCCTTACTGAAATAAGCCTAGGCTCCTGGACTTCCCTATAAAGCTGCAGAAGCACCCCGTTGGCAGCAGCTGAGGGTGAAGCAGGCCTGGGCTGGGTGGGAGGCAGCCCCTTACTCACCAGCTCGTCGGCATCTGGGGCCTTTTTCGTCGTGTACCCATATGGATACATCAGCAGCTGTGAGTAGCTGTGCAGATCGATGAAACCTTTGAAATTCCCATGCTTTTGAATGAAATCTACCACCGATTTTACCTCCACTTCCGAATTGGCATGGGGGCCATGGTAGATTTCAGAGCAAGGATCGCCACTGGCTCCGCCTCCTGTGGGGGGAGGCCCAAACAGAAACATTGACCCAGAGGCCAAGAAAACAGAAATGAAAGATCCACAGCCCAGAGGAGGGGCAGAAGCTATGGGCAATGGGCATGTCATTGCTAAATGCCCCTAAGAACCTAGTCCGTGGTGTGTGGATATTGAGGGGAGGGTACAGGTGTGGAAAGTCAGGGTGTTGGATCAGCCACAGCTGAAGAAGAAAACAGGCAGGCCTCCTTTAAAAGGGTAGAGTTGACCTTGTATCGTATCATTAACAATTGTCATAAATAATTAATATACTTGACAATGAGATGTAATTAATAAGTATTCTAGATAATTAATATGAATACCAATTAATAACAAAAATGACTTCATTTATTCTGGTGTCAACTCGTTCTCTTGGTTCAGATCTTAATGGCAAAGCACTGCCAACATAATCTATTGTTGTGGCTAAAATCTCTTAATTATTTGACAGGTGTTAGAAATACTGTCTTCAATATTACTTCACAATATAGTTCCCTGCGGTATCTGGTGTATGTAAAACCGCTCCAGCTGTGGAATATCTGACCTAGCTTTGTATCAGCTCCTCTCCCACAGTCACATTATTTTTCCCTCAGTGGTTTGCGTGGTATTTCTAGGCAAGTAAAAGTATATTAAGAACAAAACATCTGTGGAACAGTGAGAGAGAACTGCTCAGATTTGGAATTGCAAGGTGAGTTTAGATTCTAACTCTTAACCATAAACTCCTGAGGTTGTCTCTGAGCTAACCCTGTCTCATTTCAGATAATAAAATCCACTCACTAGGTCAGAAGAATTGTAAATAAGATAATATATGGGGAAGTACCTGACACACAGTTGGCACCATGGTGAGAATGATTTTAAACAGCTGGAGCTCAGAACCCAGTTCTCCTAATTCTCACTCTTTCCATCACATCAAAGATTTGAGGTTCGTATTCACACATCTAAGGGTAGACCACAAGATCTTGCCTGTTTCGCTAACAGTGTTTGCCCTGGCTGGTGTGGCTCAGTTGGTAAGAGTATCGACCTGTGTATCGAAAGGTGGCGGGTTCAATTCCAGTCAGGGCACATACCCAGGTTTTGGGTTCAGTCCCCAGTCGGGTGCATATGGAAGGTGACAGATCAATGTTTCTCTCTCACATCGATGTTTTTCTTGCTCTTCCTCTCTCTCTCTCTCTTTCTCTCTCTCTCTCTCTCTCCCTAAAATCAAAAATAGTAATAATAAAAAAAACCATACACTTGGGTGAGGATTAAAAAACAAAAGGCTAACTGCTCTCTTCTGAGTTGCCTCCAGGAGCCCTTCAACCCACCCAGTGACTTGCCCAGGACAAGCTGGAGTGGCCAGTGTATAGGAAGAGGCATGGATGTATATATTTAAGACTATGATGGTTTTTAAATAGTAGCATTCTCTCAGGCGGACAGAATTGCTAAGTTGTTCCCTTTCAAAATCACTAAAGAAAAATATTTTAAAAATAAAAAACAAGACACAGGGGGCATAAGAGATTTGCCCAAGTCTCTCAGTGAGTCAGCAATGGAGCCAGCCTGGAACCCGGCTCCCTCCAGACCAGCTTGGAGCCCCATGGACCAGAGGTAGCAGGATTTGAAAACCGGCTCCCCAACCTACCAGCAAAACTAGCGTTCCAATTTCTATTTGGATCAACACCAATGCAGGGGCTTCCAGGATTTTGGGACCGTGTCTTCCTCCAAAGTCGGTTCTGAAAAATCCACCAAGGAAAAACATCCAGAGATAAGTCAGGGCACAAGAGGAGTGAAGGTTTTCTTTGGGGACCAAAGATGGAGGTGGGCACCATGAATGGTGTGAGCTGCGTACGGTTCTCCCTGGAAAATCCTCGGGGCTCCCATCCTCTCACCCCAGAAAGGGGAGGCTGGGACAAACAAACATTGCTCACCTAAATGATCACTGATATGATAGGAAGTGCACAACTATTGTATTCTTGCCTGAAAACTTAATATGAATCCAACCAAAACCTCGAGATCTGGCTACCAGTACTTAGGGAATATGGAGATGAGAGAACAAATGAAATGGCACATACGAAGCCATTTGGCAAGTTCAGAACGTGAGATGTTCTACAGGACACTTTATTTGGTTTCTCTAAAAATGACTGATATTTTTTAAAGACATGTGTAGGGAGAGGGATGCTAATTGTTATGAAATAAAAGTCTACAGAGCCATAACAAACAAATGCAGGTACAGGCCCTGGGCAGTGTGGCTCAGTTGGTTGGGCATCGTCCCATGCACCAAAAGGTTGCCAGTTCAATTCCCAGTCAGGGCACATAACCGGGTTGAGGGCTTGATTGCCCCCCATGTGGAGGTGTGCAGGAAGCAGCTGATGTTTTGCTCTCACGTCAGAATTTCTCTGTCTCCCTCACCCTTCCTCTCTCTCTAAAAATCTATTTTTAAAATCTTTTTTAAAAAACACAGATATAGCCCTGGTGGGTTTGGCTCAGCGGTTAGAGCATCGGCCTGCAGACCAATGAGTCGCGGGTTCAATTCAGTTGCAGTTCATCCCCAGCCCTGGTTGGGGTCGCTCCGGAGGCAGCCACTCAATGTGTCCCTTTCATGTCGTGTTTCTCTCTCTCTCTCTCTCTCTCTCTCTCTCTCATCCTCTCTCTCTCTCCCACTCTGTCTGAACAAAAATGGAAAGAAAAAAAAAGTCCTCGAGTGCGGATAAAAAAACAGCAACACAGATATAGATCCTCTTTGGACCCTGATGTCAACAAATCGACTTAAAGAACCTTTACTTTATTTTCTAAATTTTTTTTCCTTTTTTAAATTTTTTTTTTATTATTGATTTTAGAGAGAGAGGAAGGGTGAGGGAGAGAGAGATAGAAACATTGATGAGAGAGAACATCCACTGGCCGCCTCCTGCATGCCCCCCACTAGGGATCTGGCCCACAACCTGGGCATGTGCCCTGACTGGGAATCGAACTGGCGACCTCTTGGTGCATGGGTTGATGCTCAACCACTGAGCCACACCGGCCAGGCAGAACCTTTACCTTTTTAAAGGTGATAGTGGTTTACTGCTAATTTCTTTGTCTTAACTATCATTAGCCAGAGGTGCATATGAAAGAAGATTTGGGTGAAATACCTGATGTCTTGGATTTGGTTTAAAATACATCAGAGAGCCCTGGCCGGTTTGGCTCAGCGGTTAGAGCGTCGGCCTGCGGTTTGGAGAGACCAGGGTTCGGTTCCCACTAAGGGCACGTACCTCGGTTGCAGTTTGTCCCCGGCCCTGGTCGGTTGTGTGGGTGGCAGCCACTCGATGTGTCCCTTCACATCGATGTTTCTCTCTCTCTCTCTCTGTTCCTCTCCCCCCCCCCCCCCCACCTGAACAACAAAATGGAAAAATGTCCTCGGGTGAGGAAAAAAAAAAAAATACATCAGAGAAAAAATGTGTGGGAGGGAAAGAAATTAAAAAAAAAAAAAAAAAAAAAAGATTGGTAAGGTGTTGATAATTGTTCAAGATCCATGTAGGAAGTTCATTAGACGATTCTCTCCAAGAAAAAAATATTCCCTGGTGATTCTCAGCTCAGAGAACGACTGGAAAATGAGACCCCAGAAAAGCTTATAACATGCACATTGTGGACGTTTTCTCCAAGGTCATACAACTATTTAGTGGCAAAGCAAAGAATTCAACAAACAAGTCTTACCTCCAAGCAGCCCATTCGGTATTACTCACTTGAGTGTGCGTGTATACATAGCCATCAGGATTGGCCACAGGCAACAAGAAAATATCCATTTTCTCCAAGATGGAGGTGATGGCTGGATCCTTCCCGTAACCAGACACAATCTAAGCAGAGATAACAAGCTAGTCAGCTACGCCCTCGAGGCTGGATCGTTAGGTCTAAGCCCGGGAATCTTCCCCAGATGCCCAGCTCCTGCGACAGCATCCACCCTCTGCAGCCTCCTGCCAGGGTCAGAGACACAGCTCTCTGCAGAGCCCTCGGAGTGCTTGGAAACCTGGGGGGATATGGCTGCAGGAGGATATCACCTGCAATGAGCCCTGGGCTGTCTGGTTTATTCTTTCCTTCCAGGGAGTGGGAACAGGAGAGCCACACATCGTAACAGTCACTGGGAATCTGAGCCCCACGCTTGGGGTGGGAAAGATGGATCCCTCCTCTCCCAGGCGGGCTTAAAGTGGGCTTCCCAGAGGGACATGGAGACAGCATGAGGTCCCCAAGGGCCTGGGGGAAGGGACTAAAGGCAAAACTCATCCGACTCTCACTGCTGACAAGGCCCTTCTCCTTTTGCTGGGATAACTATGGGTCAGTGTTTCAGGGCCACCTCTGCAGCTCATTAGGGTGCTCACTGCCATGAATGCATTTTGTCATTTAGCTACAGTGGCTTGTCCAAGGGGCTCGGACCTTTTACTTCTCCGAAATGAAAAGGCCTCTAGCCTACTGCGTCTTCCCACCTCACCCCCTGGGCCCAGTCTCATGGGAGGCTGCAGGGGCACCTCGGGCCCACCAGAATTCTCGCCTAATACCAGGCGACATGACCTTCCGCGCGGTCCACATCGCCGTGGCCTGTGAGATCCACTCCCGGGAATGGATGCCCGCGTTCAGCCACAGGGCCGGCCGCTGACAGTCTCTTCCCGTGCTGAACTGCAGAAGGAAAAAGACCAGAAAATGACCCTCCTGGCCCCATTCTCAGCTCACCTCTCCTCTCTCCAGCTCGCCCCTATCCATTTAACTCATTTAAGACAATTCAGAGACCAAATGTTCCTGAGGTCACTATCTATTCATCAGTTTATCCGTGACCAGGGAGCTTAATTGGCTGGCTCAGCCTGGCGGGCCCAGCCGCAGCTCCAGGGTTGGAACAAATGGGAAGGGGAAACAATTGCTGTTGTGGATGATAATGCCAATGTGATTAGAGATAATATTGTGTCCCCTGAAAAACCTCAAATGGTAGCCCAACAGAGAGAGACAGGAGTGCGTGAACCAGCCTGTTCTGGTCGATGCAATAAACGAATTCAGTTTTTAAAAAGAGGAAGAGAGGGTTCGCTACAGCTTTTGGTAAATGACAGTCAATGAATTCTCGCTCTTGCTTTTTAGTCCCCACCCACCCCCGCCGCCCAGACCTTGGTGCTAATGAAGCCAGGGTCTCCATTAAATCGGCAAATATTCTAAATTTATGAAGATTATTTTAGCAAGCAGCTCAGCGGCAGGTCTCGTCCGGCGGGTAATTTAACCATTGCTATACACCTGGGTTCTCCAGGGCTGATGTGAAGCTAAGAATCTGTCCAAAGCTCAGCATCGTCAGTCATTTCATGATTCATAGCTCCAAATTCTTTGTTATTCATTTGTCTCGATTATTTGTGTAATTTACGTTACTGCCATAAATTCTCTACTTCCTTTACCGAGATAGACCTGAGTCTGTTAGAAATACCTAGAAATTAGGCTTTGTGCAGCCAAGGATCATAAACTGGGCTTAAAATTATATCAGCCCTAAAATTAACTTCCTAGATTGCTTTTCAAATAAGTATCCCTAGAAGCAGGAGAGAATTTGTAGAACTACCCCAATTTGTCTTGCTATTTACAGAAGGCGGGAATGAAGGAAGAACACTGTGTGTGGCCTGAGAGCTTTCTGGAATACTAACCCCCCCCCCAACCTTCACCCCAAAGGCATCTCTTTAATCCTGCCTTTTAGTCAAAACCTGGAATGAGAATGTACAAGTAGAGAACTGTCTGTCAAATCAAATTCCACCGCTGGTAGGTGTCTCACAACCTCACCCTCCTCCCTGAAGGCTGCCCCGGTGGAGGTTCGATAGCTGGGTCCTGGGCACAGGGAACCAGGAGCCCGAGTCCAGTTCAGCCCTACAAAGAGCCTGGGCCTTACCTTCAGTACATACATCGGCCGGTTTTCAAACGAACGCCCAATCTTCACCCTGCTCGCCAAGTCAGGAAAGTCTCCAGCAATGTTGTCCATCTCCTGGTAAATCTAATGTGTGAGAAAGTGAGCCCAGAGGCATTTTTAAAATGTGTTCAGCTCTGGCTGTTCACAGATAGCTGTGAATTTTATGTTGTTGATCTTAACGATTCCTTCCAGCCCCCTAACCTTGAGGTTGACAATATAAGCGGCATGGAATGCTTAGTCTTGAAGAACTGCCTAAAGAGTCTCTTTCTACAATTTTCTAGAAAATAATACATTTGTATCCATCCACAAAATTATAGTCCACTAAACTAGTCCACTGCTCCAACAGTGTGGCCCTTAGCACCACACTAGACTGGAAAAATAGCTCGGCCCCAGCTAGCCCAGGCTCTTTTTTATTTAATTTATTTACTTTTTTTTTTTTTAATCCTCACCTGAGGATATTTTTCCATTGATTTTTAGATAAAGTGGGAGGGAGGAAGGGAGACAGAGAGAAACATTGATGTGAGAGACACATTGATTAGTTGCCTCCCACATGATCTCAACAGGGGCCAGGGATCGAACCTGCAACCAAGGTACGTGCCCTTGACCATGAATCAAACCCATGACTCTTTGGTCTTTGGGCTGACACACTAACCACTGAGCAAAACTGGCCAGGGCAGCCCAGGCTCTTGAAATCAGTGTTATCCAAACTTTTTCGATCACTTCCTCCAGCAGTTAAAAAAAAATTAGCATAGCCCTGGCAGGTTTTGCTCAACAGTTAGAGCATCAGCTTGTGGACCAATGAGTCGCGGGTTCAATTCTGGTCAAGGGCACATACCTTGGTTGCAGTTTGTCCCCAGTCCTGGTTGGGGTCATGTGGGAGGCAACCAGTTGATGTGTCCCTCTCACGTCAATGTTTCTTTCTCCCCCTCCCCCTCTCCTCCCCTCCCTCCCTTTCTACCTCCTTCTCTCACTCTATCTGAAGATAAGTAGAAAAAATATCCTTAGGTGAGGATAAAAAAAAATTAGCATGCACTATGTATGTGCAGAAATATAAATAGAAGTTGCGATCGTTTCTCTCCATCCCACCGGACAGGCACTCCAGTTTGGAGATGATTCCTCTAAAGGCTTTGAGAGAACAGTGAAGAGCTGTCAATCATGGTTATGAGTGATTTAAATAGAGTTAGTTCATCCATCTTAACTGCTCAAACCTTTTGAGGGTCAAAAGAAAGAAATAAACAAATTCATATTTAGACCTTAAAATGGGAAGAAGGACCTTTACAGAGGAGGAAAATGTGCAATCAATACCCAGAATAAAATCAAGCTTAAAGGGTCTATCAGAGTTGGCGTCAAAATGGCAAATTGAAGCAAGAAACCACTCCCAAAATACATAGGCAAGCCAGATAAAATACAATGAAAATTATTCACAGCCAAGTTAAAAAGCAAAAAAAGGGGGGTGGGGGATTGCAGGTGCCAGAAATAAAGAGGGAATAAGCTGGCAGAGTCGGGGGCAGAGGATGAAGCCCACATATCTGCCTTAGGTGCTGAGGGTTCACCGCAAACCAGGAATAGTAATAGAGGGCACGGGACCCAGTACGGGGCAAGGAGATAGGACTTGAGACATGGGAATTGGCAACTGAGCCTTGAAAAGGGCCTGGAACTCTATCCACTGACCCTAGAAAGTGGAGCAAAAGCCAGATGCCTGCCCTGGGCCATGCGGGGAAAGAGTCACCCAGGAAAAGTTAAAACACCAAGCTGAGTCCAGACTGGTGGAGGACGTGGGGGAGGGGGGGTGTCCAAATTCATAGCCAACATCAGGGGAAAACTCACCTAAGAAACAAACAAAAATAACAGCAACCACAACACACACTAAGGGTCTGAAACTAGAAACCCTGGCAGAAATAAACATGAAATTCCCACTGAACAACTGAGACCTATGTGGTTGTAGGACAGGAGCTCTTAAAAACTCTTTTTAGGAAAAAGCTGAATATGACCAAGCCAGGAGGGAGATGATGACACACCAAACCACAGTAAAAGGCCTCTCGGGGAACAAGGGGTAGCTGTAAACCAGATGACAATGGCACCTAAAGCCAGGGAACAAAGCCGCAGCAGGCAAGTGAGCCGATGGAGCTGCTAGGGTTTGGGTGACATTTGCAACTGGTTAGCTCAGCTAGGGAGTGCCCGATGGTACTGACGCTAACTAACATCATGGGTTTTAATCCCTATTTGGACCCTGAACTCTGCTTTTGTCTGTGGCCCTGGTCTGAACTCCTAACTTTGTCCAGCTGTTTTGCAGATGTATGTCAATGGTCACAGGAAGGATCAAGGGACAATGCAGTTGGAAGTGTACACAATAAACGAAGCTACTGATAATCACAAGAGAAACCTGCAAATAGTTGGTCAGCCTTTGAAGTAATTCCTCACTAAAAGATAAACAACTCAAAGTATATGCTTCGTGAAAAGCATACCAGGAGCACCATCTTTGGATACCAAGAACAACGTGTATTGAGGTATAGGAAGGAGGCCACCAGTTTAGATTTGGCTTGTGTTCCTAAGCCAAGAGTTTCCAGGTTCATGAAGAAGACATTGAGGGACATAGGAGAACTGCACTGTGTGTGATGCGATTGCATTCTATTAGCTCTCTGGATTCCTCAAGTTCCAATATCGCATTAAATTATTCCGCTCCAAGTTTTTCATTTGAAGTGTTGGCTTACCTTGAAAGTCATTCATCTATATAAAGTGGTTTCTAACTAAACACAGCACCAAAATGCATTATGGAACAAATATATGTTTTAAGCAGTCATGATAAATGAGTGGAAATACTTGGTTAACCTTGGAAATAATCACTTGTCTATTTGCCTGGAACAAGTAACATTTTAACTTAGGAGACTAAAAGGGTTATGGTGGGGCACGAGAAGGTTAACGTAAGCACTGGGGATGACTGCAGGTATTTCATGGCTTCCTTTGAGAGTTACTTAAGAAAAGGACACATGTGGGAGAAAGTTTGTCTTTTCACTAGGCTCTTAGGTGCTGGCGAACATTAAACAAACCAAGGATTAGAAAGGAATCACCGTGTACACATTTTAGCCCCTCAGTGAAGGACAAATACCTCCTGAAAGTGAAGAAAAGGGTCACAAAACTCAGGAGACCGATAACCCTGATCTTAACCTGCTCTGAAACACTTACAGCTTCCAGGGAGTGATAGGCCCCATAGTTGAAGTTATTACCGCTTCGTTCTTGCTCTTCGTTGTATTGCATTTCTTCATTTTCCTTATCTAAAAGGGCCTAAAACAGACATGGAGACACTGAATGGTCCGCTGGAGACTGAGATTCATGAGTTTCCACCATGACGTGGCCCATGGGCCAGCCTAGATGGTGGCACCTCAACACATATATCAAATGCCTTGAACATCAAAGTGTAAATGGAAGTCAGATATCTTCCACGTGACTATAAAAACTTACTCCTTGGTGCCATCGTACATCACCCCATTGAAAACCCACTTACTCCCTGGAAGCAATAGATATGCTATTTTTTTATTCTATACTTTGAATTCTCTAGACATCAGCCCGCATCTGGTATCCAGTGCCTCTGAAATACACAGCTTGGGAAACCATTCCGAAACAAAGAAATTCTTATAACCACTCATACTTTGAAGGCTCCTGGCAGATGTCTATGACATGTGAGGATGATTAATAAGCTCACAGCTGCTCACGCCATCAGGAAACTCCCGGGCCAAATCACCAATTAGTCCATAACCCACCTCGGTGAAGGAGAGAACATTAGCCAGACACTGTCCTGCTGTTCAGATACAGGTCGTGAGGCTGATGCCTGGCTAAGGTGGTGATGTTCCCTCTGCTGGGGGCTGTTGGTGACACTCCCCCTTTCTCAAAGGATACTTTCTATGACTGGTCCCCAGCACCCACCTCGCTCTCTTCTTCCCTCCTGACTTCCAATAAGAAAAGGGAGAAAGACAATACTTGTGGACATCTCTGACATACCAGGCACTGTTAGACATTTGACATACACTTAATCATTCTTCTCGATAAATTGTATAGCCCTGGCCGGTTTGGCTCAGTGGTTGGAGCGTCGGCCTGTGGACCAGAGAGTCCTGGGTTCGGTTCCCGCTAGGGGCATATACCAAAAAAATAATAATAATAATAATAATAATAATAATAATACATAAATTGTATGAAGTAGTTATCACTATTAACATTATACCAATAAAGAAACAGGCTCAAGAGGTTAAAAGCTCGTCCAAAGTCACACAGCTGATAGTTAGCTAAATCAGGTTTTGGATCCAGATCTGTCTGGTTCCACACCCTGTGTATGCCCTTTCTACTACAACATGCTCCTCTAACAAGGCATTGCTCTTTATTTCATATACCTCAATGTCTGCATCTGTAAAATGGAGAAAAATAAGACCAGAACTTGGAGATGTCTCGAGTCCACTCTGGCTGCTTTGTCCCATGCAAGACAAGCAAGGAGCCTGGGTTTACCCACCTGCAGGTCTTCAATTGTCACTGAGTAATCTAAGCCGTGGGACTTGAGGAAGAATTTGACTGGTTGCAGACTGACAGATGGGACCAGGACATCCACAGGAAGACCCAAGGTACAGCAGGTTTTCCAGAGGTTGACCTGAAGAGAACAGAGAGAAAAATCAGGTTAAAGGACAGTTCAGGTAAAAGGCATAATGAGCTAGTTCATTCTTCTAGAGCAGCTGCCAAAAGTCAGGGCGATCCCTGGGGAGCTGGGTTCTGCCCAAGGGCAAACTTTGCCCATTTCACAATTGTATCTGGTCAGGCCTGTCCAGCAGGCAATACCCAGCAAAGCCCAGGAAATAATACTAAGTCATGGCGGACGGGAAGATGGAGCCCACTGCGGAGGCTTCCCACACCCAGCACCCCCCACACACCCCATCAGCCCTCTCCAGCGTGGAAATGCACGTTGGCCAGTACACACACTCTCCAGAAATAATGTCAGTGGCGTGTGGCTTCTCCCACCAAAATTAGAAGACACCCGAGAGGACTAGGAAGAACCAGTACCTTAAAGTTGTCTGAATTCACTAGCTCATTTAGTTTGCTGATCTCGTCTCCATTTCTGACATTAATCCTAAAAACTTGGTCCCTGGAGAAGACAAAAAAAAAAAAGAAAAGAAAAGCAAAAGATAATGGTGAGCTTTCCGCTGGCAAATAAACCCCAAGCCCACTGTCCCAGACATAATTGCGCCGAATGAGAGGAAATGGTCTAGCCTTTGGTTATAATGTATAGCCATTAAAAATAAGACTACGTGGCAAATATGAAAAAGTGCTTATGGTATAACTTTAAGGAAAATATTAAGTGAAAGAGCAGGACACAGAGTTGTATGTATGCCATGATCACAAGTATGGAAAAAGCAGATGCATTGGAAGAAAAACAGACAACGGAAATCTAGCAAATGCTGACAGTGCTTATGTTCGGGTCATGGAATTATGGATGACTGACTTTTTTCCCCCTTGTATCTGTTTTCTGTAATGTGGTCATATTACTTTATAATGAAAAACATATATATTTTGCAGGAAGGAATGTTCCTGAGTTACACGCAAAGCTAACTCAAGACATAAAGAAGCACTTCTTCACTGTCAGGGGCTCAGGCTGGAACCGGCGGGAGAGGCGGGTGCAGATGATGTTTTGTTGAGTTGTCCACCTGAAACCTCTATGATGTTGTGAACCAATGTCACCCCCACAAATTCAATTAAAAAATAAATTTTACTTTAATTTTTTCTTAAAAGAAGAAACTCTGGCCCAAGGTCCATGCTGGCAGCAGCCAGAAAAGGGAGCAGACCTCCCATCCCTGGAGGGTTAGCTATTTTCCTCTTAGCACAGAGGGGAGAGCTGAGAGCGCATTCGATCTCGTCCAGTTCCAAGACCCTGTAAAAATTCAAATCAGAGTAGGGCCAAGGTGCTGGGGCTGAATTGGGGAGTCAGTCCTCCCCAGGGGACCCTGGGAGGGCCCAGGGGGAGCCCCCCTTTGTTGTCTGGCCTGCAGTTGTTTCATGTACGCTATTTAGCATCTGCGGCAGCAGCAGGGGTAGAGGCCCCCCAAGTCCTGTGCGTGGGTGGGAGAAGGTCGAGCCTGAAAAGCTGCCTTTGTGCTCTCGGCTGGCTCAAGTAGCCAGGGGAGCCATTAGGCTGTTGCTAGGTGACGAGCCAAATGAATCTGCACTCAACGCTGTCACATGCGTCATCCCTTTGACACGAATGAATGCGGGAAGAGCTGGTGGAGAGAGCTGTGGGCTGAAGGACCTGTTGACAGAGAAAATAGTTCTGTCGCAGGGAGCTAAACGTGCAGCCTCACGTGGCAGATCGGGCTCTCCTCGCCCGAAAGCCAGCTCTCTCCCACGGACTCTCGGGGTGGAACGCTGTTCGGGGAGGTTCTCCCGGATCTCTGGGGGTCTAGTCCAGCCCCAAGGAGACAAGGTCCCTGAAGAGTTGCTACCATTGCCGGCGGCAGGTCAGGAGGAAATGCCAGGGCCAAAGGCTCGCGTTCTCCCAGCTCATGTGGTCTCCACAGGGCCCTGGGAGCTGGGCAGCAAACTGCATCCATGGGTGCTGCTGGGCCCTGGTGGGGAAGCTGCTGGCTGGACGGTCTCAGTCTGAGCCCAACAGGCCTGGAAGGAGTTGGACCGCAGCCCTGGGAAGATGAGGAGTCAAACCACCATTTCCCCGACACAGGCAGCCTGCCTCACACAAAAAGGGCAGGGTTTAAAACAGAAAGGAAATCCTCACTCCTGGCTCCGGACCAGGCCCATCTGCCAAACTCATGCTCTGTCACAACACACCCCAACACTCCAGAAAAAGAACGTCTTAGAAGTGGTGTTCTAGAAAGTGCTTGGGCCCTGTTATTGGCCAAAGTAGGCATTTGTAAAATACGGCGCTGACCAGAACAATCACAAAGAAGCAGGGGAGGGGAAGAGAGAAAAAGAGGATCATCGAACTAAGGAGCTCTCTCTCTCAGAAGTATAAAAACCATGTTGCACATTCACCCAGAGCATTTGTTTTACTTTTTCCAAAGCGGTTACTGCGCCACAGATCGCCAGCGCTCCTGGAGCCCGTGACAGTGGGCCACAGTGAGTCTCGCCGGCCGATGATGATTCAATTCACAGTCCATTCACCGTGCCCCAAGCAGCCCGGCGACGGAGGTTAGAGACACAGCCGCAGCATTCAGAGAGGCAGCGAGGAAGATGTGGACCAAAAAAGGGGGCTCTGTAATCTGACCAAAAGTAACCTCACAGAGTAATCTGATCATAAATTTCTAACCGGGCAGGTCCCAGTGGGTAGTCACGTTCCAGGTCTATAAAAGGCTTATCTTCAGCTTAAGCAAAGCCCTGTCCCTTGCCCTGGTGGACCCAGGTTAACACGCCTTTGAATGCCTCTTTTCAGACCCCTCCAGGGAGCACATAATCTTGTTAACTGTCCTATAATCCCCACCTTCATGTAATCTTCCTTACCTTTCCTCCTTAAGTCCAAATGTATAAAAGAAAGTGCAAAACTCTCCTTTTTCTGGAGCATTTGAGAGCTTGCTTCCCTGGCGTGTCATCTGTTTGGCTCAAATAAACTCAAAACAATGCATATAAAAATTCTCTACAGGTTTGGACACTTTTTACATTGACAGTGGGCTGGTAGAGTGGAGTCCGTCCCCGTCTGTCTTGCTTCCACCTCTCCCTCCTATGCCTGCTTGACTCCAGACTCACTGAAATCCCAAATTCCCCAGGTACTTTGCCCCTCCATGCCTTTGCACACGCTGCCCCCTCCGCCTGGACTCCTCGCCCTTTTCCTTAGTTGCCTAGCAATCTCCACCCAGGCTTTAGGAACAACTCCCATCACCCATGGAGTTTCCCCTGCCCAGAGGAGGCAATGTGAGGGACAGTCTTCAGGTGGCGCTAAAATGGAGGAGAAGGGGTTGTTTAATTAACATTATTTCCCTGAACAAAAGTCCATCAAAACCTGGAGGAGCCCTGGCCACTTTGGCTCAGCAGTTAGAGCATTGGCCCGTGGACCAGAGAGTCCTGGGTTCGGTTCCCGCTAAGGGCACGTAGCTCGGTTACAGTTTGTCCCCGGCCCTGGTTGAGGTCGGGTGAGTGGCAACCAGTCAATGTGTCTCTCTCACATTGATGTTTCTCTCTCTCTCTTCCTCCCTCTCTCTCTCCCACTCTATCTGAAGATAAATGCAAAAATGTCCTTGGGTGAGGATAAAAATAAATAATAAATAACTAAATACCTGGAAGCGGATAACATAAGTGGGTGCCAGGTAAAGAGCAGCCTTTTTTTGTGTGTGGTTTTTTTTTTTTTTGGTCCTCGTCGTCTTTGTCTCTATTTGGAAAGTGCCTTTCCTAGCGTGGGTGGCTGAACACAACCTGTGTCCACCATCTGGAAATTCCATTCTGATTATGGAAGGGTGGCCTGGGAGGAGGGATACGACGGGATTCCCAGGTTGCCACACTCACCCCTGCACTCCACACAGGCATCCTTACAGCTCTTGTTAACTCTGGCCTCTCTGCTACCCAGGGCTGTCCCACTCTGCCTCCACGATGGTCGGCGATCCCCTCTCCCTTCCTCACACTTGTCCCGTGTTCTGAAGTCAGAAGTCACCTTGGTGCTGAGCTTCCGCACCTCCCCAAGTGGCCTGGTCTTTGTGCCTTTCTCCCTGCATCCCTGACCGGGCTTAGCACCTACCACGAGTACCGAGACGGCTGCACAGAACTCAAATGCCTGCCAGCCACAGCGATGCAACCAGTTCTGCGTCTACTTCCTTTCTCTGCCTGCCCCACACCTGTGGGCATCCTGGCCACCTTCCCATCCTTACGATGACTGAAGACACCCGCAGAGACAGACTAGGGAAGTAGGTGAGTTGAGTAGAAAGAACAGAGACTAGGATGGAGGGTTTGGGGGCACCATCATCTTCCTCTCCTCAGCGCTGTACCCCCTCCAAGCCAACCTGTGTCCCAGCCACTTGAATGCTCAAAGGCCAACTTCCCCTTGCTCTAAATGTTCACCTTCTGGGACTTGTCTGTGGACCCCAGGAAGGATTCCACCACCTTTGCTATGGGGTGAGACCAGATTTGGGGGTGAGGATGGTACTGATGGTCATAACCATCTGCAATTAGCCCAGACACACAGCCCTTCCTGTGCCCGCTCCTGTGGCGAGGACTCCAGGGCCCAGCCCAGCTGTCTCAGCCCAGGTGCCCGCTGCTAAGAGAAGTCTGAGAAAGATGGTCAGTCACGTGAACAGCTGCAGTGGGAGCCCAACCACTCCCTGTGTCGGCCCACACGGCAGCGTAGTTATTACACTGAGCTGCCTAGGACACATCTCCTTCCCCGGCCACCGCTGTGCCGAAGCCTCTAAGCTGTTTGGCAGTACAGACCAGGTGTGAACAGAAGTCATCACCATAAAAATTACTCGATTTCACAGAAGGACAGTGGTTCCCCCTTATCCGCGGTTTTGCTTTCTGTGGCTCAGTTACCTGCAGTCTGAAAGTATTAAATGAAAAATCTCAGAAGTAAACAATTCATAAGTTTTCAATTACACACCGTTCTGAGTACCTCGCTTCATCTCCCATCACCACAGGACAAAGGGTGAATACAGTACAATAAAATATATATATATATATTTTAATCCTCACCAGAGGACATTTTTCCATTTTTTGTTCAGGTAGAGTAGGAGGGAGAGAGAGGAAGAGAGAGAGAGAGAGAAACATCGACGTGAAAGGGATACATCGAGTGGCTGCCACCTGCACGACCACCAACCCAGGCCGAGGACAAACTGCAACCGAGATACGTGCCCTTCGTGGGAACCGAACCCGAGTCTCTCTGGACCGCAGGCCGACGCTTTAACCGCTGAGCCAAACCGGCCAGGGCCAATAAAATATTTTGAGAGAGAAAGATCACATGCACATAACTTTTATTACAGTGTGTTGTTATAATTATTCTACTTTACTGTTAGTTATTATTGTTACTCTCTTAATGTGCCTAAGATATAAATTAAACTTGATCCTAAGTATGTACGAATAGGAAAAAACATACTATATATGGGGTTGGGTACTCTCTGTGGTTTCAGGCACCCCCTGGGGATCTTGGAACAGATGCCCCACAAATAAAGAGGACTACTGTAATTACCTCAGCAAACAACCCCAAAGTCCCTTTCGCCAGATAGTATAATAGAATAAACTAGTAGCTATAGATACATCAGTGAGATAGAGGATTCTAATCTGGAGATTACCTTGTGTTACAACAAAATGGTATGGGTTTTGCACTCAGAGTTTCATCTCCCCTGCTTACCAGCTAAGTGGCCTTGGGCAGGTTTCTTAATCTTTCTAAGGCTGAGTTTTTTCATGTTTAAATAAAGGAAAATAACAACCCTGCCTGGCAGAGTTGTTGTGTGATCCAAAAGATAAGGCACACTAAAGCTTTTTGCAAATGGCAAAGCATTTGTGCAGTAATGAGTTATTAGAATTCAATCTTCCAGCAGGGTATCATGGCACCCTTTCATCTCTCCTGCCTCCCCAGTGCCCTCTCTGCAAACCACAGAACACTGTGGAGACGCGGGGTCTGTGCGTGCACGGTGTTCGGGTGTATGCTGGCATGTCCATTTTCAGAGCCGTGGCTGGGCAAGGCCTAGCAAATCTCCATGCCCCGGGTGCCATTGAGAAAGCCCTTAGCCTTAACCGTCATCGGAGAGGTGAAGCCAGGTTTGCCCTTAAGAGGGACAGAAATTAGAAACAATTTCTGATTATTCTTGTTCCTTCATAATATAGGAGGTAAGAAAGTAGAAGATGCCAGGAACTGCCTGACAAATAAGAACTAGGAGGAAAAAGAATTGGCAGGAGAGGAGGGAGCTAGAGAGGACTACAGCGACCACCCGGGCCTGATTTCACACGTGCAACTGAGCGTGAGAGATAAGTAACTCGTCCGGGGTGACACAGGGCAGAGCTGGGATAGGAGCCCAGGTCTTTTGCTCAATGCGTACCGCTGGAAGTATCATCGGCCATGCATTTTCAAATTCATTTGACTCCCGTAACTCTAAACTAATCAAGTAATAATAATAAGTTCAAAGGGAACTTACCCAAAACACTTTTCTCGGCTGCAGATGCTGGGTCCGATAAGGGCCCCAAAGAACAGTATCCACATCATGTCCCAAAGGTGTCTGTCACAGTGGCTGAGCCAAGTTGTATTTATAAGGACTCTGAGGCAGACTCAGTTCCTCAGAAATGCTAGTGTGATTCCCAAGCAGCCTTGCCACCCTAATGGCAGGCAGGTGGGCCCTTAGGCATGACTCCTCTGTCCTGGTGAGTGACAAAGGCCAGCCTCCTGACTCACAAGATCGGGAACTTGTTCCTCTGGCTGGGAGACTGTGCCAAAGGTACCACATTGCTCAACATTGGATTTAAGTAGTGTTTTCTGAATAAATCGGAGGTCCCACAGTGCCAAATAGAATTTCTACTAATAGGAGAAGCCAGGTTATAAACCTAAGACAGAGTTACCTCTAGAGTTAAAAAAAAAAAAAAAAAGTGAAGACTATCAAAGAAACCCCAAGCCAGCTCCAAGCCCTGTCAGAGGACTCACCAGAGCAGGTCACCATGATGACGGTTTGTGGCCTCTGTCATGAATCTGACACATAATTCTTAGGACTCCAGTAAGCAAGTGGAAATATATGAGGTAAAGGGTATTGAAAGAATGTTAGTCTGAATAACTTATCAGTTTTCCTTAGGGTCTGAGCTAAAGTGTAGGCTTAATAGTATTATTAAAAATAAGACTTCCTTACATTTACTAGACTCTGGGTCCGGTGTCCTTTCCCCCATGTCCCAGCATAATAAATGGGAGCCCCTCGTGGTCTCCCTGACTCCTTCCTGGGCTCTGAGGCCTCTGAGTCTGTCCTGAGAGCCCCAGATCCCACAAGCCTCCCCCATCCCACTGTCCCCATGGTCTACACTCTTTCTGCACTTGCTAAGGGGAGTGGATACAACCAAAGGTCATGATTGGGACTGTTAAAAAATTATTCTGACATTTGTTAAAACTGTAAGGAAGACTTTGTTCAAAATTATTGCAATAGGGGCCATGAAATAGGAAAGAGTAGCCTGGCTGGTGTGGCTCTGTGGTTGAGCATCGACTCAGGCATCAAGAGGCCGCTGGTTCGATCCCCAGTCAGGGCACATGCCCAGGATGTGGGCCTGATCCCCAGTGCGGGGCATGCAGGAGGCGGCCAATAGATGTTCTCTCTCATGGATGTTTCTATCTCTCTCTCCCTCTTCCTTCCTCCCTTTAAAATCAATAAAGAAAAAAAAGTTTAAAAAAATATATATGTGAAAAAAAAATAGGAGAGAGTAATTGTGTTCAACTCCAACCACAGTAAAGACAACTGAGTGAGGGGTCGGTGGATGGACAGTTGCTAAGAGGAGACATCAAGGTGAGGGACTACTTGCTTAACTGACCTAACAGGATTCTTGCTAGAGTAGGCCAAGGACTGAGACATCACAAGTGGAGGATAAGGAACTTGATCAGATATCAAGGATTGGAGAATGATTTCCTTTGAAGGTTTCTTTGCTAAGACTGACTTAGGGCCCAAAAATAAGCCTAGTCAAAAAGAAGACTCAGAGAAGCCTATCTAACTAAGGTTTGATCAAAAAGGTTCTTTGGCCCTGGCCGGTTTGGCTCTGTGGTTAGAACGTCGGCCCTTTGGGCCACGGGTTCAATTCCTGGTCAAGGGCACATACCTGGGTTACAGGTTCCATCCCTAGCCCCAGTCGGGGTCATGTGGGAGGCAACCAATCAATGTGTCTCTCTCACATCAATGTTTCTCTCTCTCTCCCCCTTTCTACTCGTCTAAGAAAGTTAATGGAAAAATACCCTTGGTGAAGACTAACCCAAAAAAGGAGGGTCTTTCCCAGAATCTGTGGGCCGGGGGCGCCTATCAGGGCTTTTTTATCCTTTCCACACTGAAAGGGAACTCCTATACCCACCCCGGCCCACCACCAAGACTGGGTCTCTCCTTCACCAAGAAAAATTTCAGCTTTGAAATTAGTAACGAGAAGCTGAGACCTGAATCTATAAGAAATGTGAGCTAAAGAATGAAGTACCCAGCCCTGGCCGGTTTGGTTCAGCGGTTAGAGTGTCAGCCTGCGGTCCAGAGAGACCCGGGTTCGGTTCCCGCTAAGGGCGCGTACTTTAGTTGCGGTTTGTCCATGGCTCTGGTTGGGTCATGTGGGTGGCAGCCACTCGATGTGTCCCTTTCACGTCGATGTTTCTCTCTCTCTCTCTCTTCCTTTCTCTCCCTCCCACTCTATCTGAACAAAAAGTGAAAAAATGTCCTCGGGTAAGGATCAAAACAACAAACAAAAATTAAAAAAAAAAGAATGAAGTACCCAGAATTCCAGGCAAGATAGAATTCACTTCCCACCCTTTCTTCCAGAGAAAGCCACCGATGTACAGAAAATCTAAACCCCTAATGGAAGCAAATGTCGAAAGAGAAATCATATGGCACATGAGCCGAGACTTGATAGAGCAACCAGGAAGGAGTGTCGCTGGTTTGAGTGCCCAGTTTTTATAGCCAGCATACCAGGAATGGAAAGGCAAAGGCAGTGATGGAACCAGACGACACCTCGCCTAATGCTTGGAACGATCTAGTTGCTTAAATATGATTTGTTGAATAAATGAACTCAAAAGTCCCTTTCTTGCTCTAAAATGCTTCTCTACTAAGATGAAGGAGCATGTCCTGGCCAGTTTGGTTCAGAGGTTAGACCACTGGCCCGCAGACTGAAGGGTCTTGGGTTCAACTCCCAGTCAAGGGCACATGGCTAGGTTGTAGGTTCCATCCCTGCCCCAATCGGGGTCATGCGGGAAGCAACCAATCAATGCTTCTCTCTCACATTGCTGTTTCTCGCTCTCTCTTTCTCTCCCTCCCTCCCTCCCTCCCTCCCATCCACTCCACCTAAAAATCAATGAAAAATATCCTCGGGTGAGGATTAACAACAACAAAAAAGATGAGGGAGCTGACACATGCCACAATATGGATAAACCTTGAAAACTATGCAAGTGAACTAAGCCAGTCACAAAAGGACAAATACTGTCTTTCCTTTTATATGTGATACCTAGAATAGGCAAATTCAGAGAGACAGAAGTGGACTAGAGGTTACTAGGGGCTGCAGGGAGGAAGAACGGGGAGTTACTGCTCAACAGGCACAGAGCTTCCATTTGGGATGATGAAAAAGTTCTGGAGATGGATAGTGGTGATAATTGTACAACACTGTAAGTGTACTTTATGCCACTGAATTGTGCACCTAAAATGGTTAAAATGGTCAATGCTATGATATGTGTATTTTACCACATCTTTTTAATGCTGAAAGGATGTTGGGAGCATTTTGCTAAGGATGGATTTTTTTAAAAGATGAAGGGGTATAGCTCAGTGGTTTGCTGTATTTTAGGGCACCATAAATTGAAGAAATAATTCTCCTAAATTGAGATTAGAAAAAGGAATAATCACTCCCCCACTTTGTTTCAAACTAGAGAGCCTTTATTGGTGTTTGTTCCTCCAGAGCCCTAATAGGGATGGTCTCGAACATGCTCCATGATCGTCATCAAGCCAAGCCAGGTCTCTTCGGCTGTGGGTAAGATCTGCTTGGCAGGCAGGAGGAAACCGTATCGACCCGTGTCTCTCAGTTCAAAGGCAAATGAGTATTTGATGCCGGAGTCATAGGCCCAGTCAATGCTTCCTCCACTGGCTTGGTCTGAAAGGCAAGTAAAAATAAAGGCTGGTTGTGCTATACCCACTGGCTTCTCACAGCTATGTAACCTCTAAGTTCTACCATTATTAAAAAGATAAGTTAGGCCCCTATCTGCAAGGGCCTTGAGAACAGGGATAGCTTAGTAGGGGGTCATGCTTATGAAAAAAATACAAGATTAATTTGAAAAGCAAAAGGTGTAATGTAAATGGACACCATACTTAGCCTTCCTCTGGTGTTCTTAGGAGGCTCTGGCTTCACCCACCCACTTGGAATCCTGCCTGCTCTCCTAATTGGCATCTTCTACAACTTAGGGAGGCCACCCCACTTCCTTCTTTAGAAAAGTGCTGCTTGTAGATATTGTTTTCTCTAGAGAGAAAGGCGGGATTACAAATAGAAGGGGAAATGTGGTCCCTGCCCTCGGGATTTTCAGCAGAAAGGTGGAACAGGCCTTGTTCTGATATCAAATAACGTGCCCGGTACCTCTGCGTGATGTGCTCACCCAACAGAGCGATGCACACCTGTTAGGGTGGGGCCATGACAAGACAGATGATGAAGGACGGTGGCATTAGCCTACAAAGACTTGGGGCAATCATGACTCAGAAAACGGAGTCATGGACCATCTCTGAGGCCCCACCCAGGGATGACAGGTAGAGGTCAAATGAAGGAGATGGCTGAGGCTGGTAAATAACAAATACCAAATGGCTCCTGACTGGAATTGAACTTTCCTGGGTACCAGAATTACTAACTTATGCCTTTGCTGTGGCTACATGACACCGCCAATCCCACTAAGAAGCCTACAGTGGACGGAAGGCTAGCTTCAGATTGAATTCTGAGTCTGCAAAACATTAGCTGGGTGACCTGAAGCACGTATTTACCTCACTGAGTCCAAAATGCTTCATCCATCAAATGGGGGTAACAATACTACTTATTTCACAGAGCAATGAGAATTAAATATAATGTTCACGACTCCAACACTTGTTGAATGCTTACTAAATGTGATAGGCACTATGCTTAATTGGTTCATTTAATCACCCCTTGAATCAAAAATATTAGTATTATTTCCATTTTACAGATGAGAAAACTGAGGTTCAGAGAGACTAAGTGAAGAAGCTAGGATAATGCACGCAGAGTAGGCATTCAATAAATGTCAGTTATTGTTATAACTATGATTATTAATAAATGCCTAGGATCCTACTTTAAAAGTTGGGCCACATTAAAGATAAGAGGTATTTAGAGGACAGCAGTTCACCAGGAAACTAACAAGGAACGTTTATATAGCGCCTTAGAGTTAGTGAACACTTTTAATCTACATTCTACCTTTTGAGCCTCTCAACAACCCATTTCACAGATGAAGAAACCAAGGGAGGCCCTGGCTAGTGTAACTCAGTGATTAGAGCATCTCCCCATGCACCGAAGGGTCTCGGGTTCGATTCCCAGTCAAGGGCACATACC